CAGATGAGACGGTGGTGGTCGAACGGAGAGAACAGCACGCGTGCGGGGGGAAAGGGTGGGAGCGGTTATTGTTGTGGTGTTGTCGATACTGTCGTTTGTTGTCTTCTCGCCAGCAAGCCTTTCCGGTCTCCGCTCAGAACGTTCCCACTTACGCACCGGTGTATCGGTCCAACGGCGCCCGTCGTTCACAGTTGGAGTGCTACGAGGAAGAGAGTCAAAACAGACAGGAAGCCAGCCACAGCTGTATAGCAGCAGCGACCAACAAAAAGGGCAAGGCAGCAGCGGCGGCGGCCCCGCCGGTTATGACGGCGGTGTCACCCCTGTTGTGCAAGAACCGTCCTCAATATCGGCAAATTTGTTTCTGACCCGTGGCTACAAGTAGTAGGAGACCAATGTTTTTAACGCTCCAGAATTGCAAGCGTCAGTTCCCCGTCTTCGTTCCACGAGGGGCGGCCGCGGCATACGACGCCACATACAGCTTTTTCACGGCACTCATGTTCGCAGAGGATTTCTGTGGTTGAACGTACATGCCCAAGAAAACCTTTTAGCGCATCGACCCCGCCGCACCGTGTCCCGGTCTCCACACACTACTTGCTCCCCCCGAGCAAGCTCGCAACCTCCACAACCCCACACCTCACTCACACACACCCCCAGCCTAAACCCCGTCCCCCGTCCTCTCACCATCCGATAGCGCTTCGGCGGCGGAGGCTGCCCGCCGCCGCCGCCCCCCGGCGGGCCTCGAAAGTGCCCCCCGTGGTGGTGATGCCCTCCGGGCAATACTCCATGATGGTGGTGATGCCCCCCCCCGACCCCTACCCCAACCCCGACCCCGCCCGGCGGCGGTTGCATCAGGTGGTGGTGCCCGGGCAGCAGGTGTCCCGGCCCGGCGCCCCCGGCCTCCACGGGCGGCTCCCGCGTGCCCCCCCTCCGCGGGATAGTGCCGCCGGCCCCTTCCCCCAGGACCGGCGGCGGAGGGCCCGAAAGGAGGCCGAACGGGCTGGTGGACCGCACCGCACCGCCGCGCCCGCCGCCGCCGCCGCCGCCGCCGTGGTGGTGGTGGTGACTGTCTGGGCCCGGTCCGCCGCCCATGACCGGGGACGGCCAGGGCAGCGTCGGCAGGGAGAGCGGCGACAGCGACCGCCGCGGGACTACCGCGTCCACACTCCCCTGGCGATGGTGGTGATGGTGGCGGCTACTCTGGTGGTGCATGCCGCCGCCCCCACCGCCACCGCCTACGGTGTCGACGTTGCCGTCGTAAGCATCGCTCCTGCTTCCTTTTTCTCGCTGTTCGTCTTCTCTTCTGCTGCCCGGCGGTGGTGGCGGCGGGAAGGGCAAGCTCGTCCCGTCGGCGGCGGCGGCGGGGAGAAGAGGAGCGCCGCCGCCGCCGCCGCCCTGGTGGTGGTGACGCGGGTGGGCGGTGGTGGGAGACGACGGCACCCCAGCGTTGACTTGTATGTCGCCGGCGCCGGCGCCGCCGCCATGCCCCACAAGAGCCCGCCCCCCCCCACCCCCACCGCCGGCGACACCCGACGGGGGGCCCGCCTTTCCCCTCCCTTTTCCTCTACCCCTTCCCCCGGTACCGGCACCGCCGACACCCGCGGGAACAGCGGATGCTGCCGCCACAGCCGACGCGCCCTCCTCCTGCTCCTGCTCCTGGCCTGCCGTGGGCGGAGGCAGCTTGACGGACACCATCGCGGTTGGAGACACCAACCCGGCGGCCGGGTTGGCGTTACCTTTCCGCGATGAGCCCTTCTTCGTTGTCCGCCCCCCGCTCCCGCGCCCCCCTCCCCCCCTCCCTCCTGCGGAGCCGCCGCCGCCGCCGCCGCCGCCGCAACGCTGTCACCCACCAATCTACCGACGGACGCAAGCAGAGTGGCGTACACTGAAGGCAGAGTCTGCTGCGGTCAAAAAATCAGCGAGTCTC